AATATAAGAAACTAACCATTTATCAAAATTCATTTAAAAAATTTTGTTGTGTTACTTCTCTGCTTCATTTGCCTTTCTTATCATCAGGTTTGCTGGGAATGGGCCAACAGCATTGGAAAGTGAGTTCTTTGAGTGTGTCAAAATGAGAGTTGAGTGAGAATCTACGAAAATAACCAAAGGAAAAATTACACTACTTAATTGATCTAAAGGGTTTAACTGAACCATTATTTAATAATGGTTAAAGGTTACCATTATTTAATAATGGTTTAATAATGGTTAATTATAATAATGGTTAAAGGTTAAAATTAAAGGGTTTAACCCTTTAATTTTCGCAGCTGTATTCTGCATTGCATTTTAAGGTATAAATAACATATTTACAAACAGTTTAATAAGTGAAAAATTACTTTTTCTCTCATTATTTTTTCTACATAACTTTTTCCAAGTTTAAGACTAGCAATGACAGATCATTTTTTGCGTATTTAAGAAATTTGCCAGCTGAATTTCTCTCGTTTTAACACAGAATGAAATCCGTTTGTCTTTATGCCAGGTTCTTTCTTTAAATTATTGCCACCAAATATTATATATAGACTTTATATTACGCGCAAAGGGGCGTTTATTTAACGTTTTGTGTGTTACTTTTATTTATTAAATATCATGTTCTTCGCATTTAAACCACAAAATTTAGTTCAACAGCAGTATCGCAAAATATTTAAAAGAGTATATCTTTAGAATTTCCGATACACAGCCTCGCGCGCTGGAGATAAAATTTTTTTTTTTTTTTTTCATATAGTGTTGCCATTCTTCGCTTTGAAATCGTTGAGTTTCTTAATCAAAAATTCTTTAATGTGTGACAGATATGAACTAGATAATAAAACAAATTCCAAATTAGGACTTCCAGATGCCCATATTCGCCGGACGATTAGGTTATTCAAAATTTTGAAGGCTCTACGTACCGTCGTTTTATCACAGTGCAAGAAATATACAAACATGTATGCAAATTCTTCATTATTTAATTTTTTTAAATATAATACAGGGCCGTAATATTTGCTGGCAACAGTTTGAAAAGTGAACTGACATTTAAAGTTTTCAATGCAAAATGCCAAAACGAAACTAATAGCGCTTCTAGGCTAACGCCTTTTGGGCTAAAAATGGATGGCTACTCTTGAACAAAATCATTCTACTTTGATAATATATTAAGGTACTTGATATCCTTAGGTATTCCTTAGGTACTTATGTATTCCTTAGGTACTTGATGTTACCTAAGGAAAGAGTCATCTGCGGCAATATTATTAACTTTTATTACGCAAACATTACCCTCTGTTCATCGCAACTTTATGAATGAGGCAAAAGACTGTAATCGCCATGCAAAATTGTTTTGACAGATTACATGAATGTTTATTGAGACTCACTTGACAAAGAGATAAATATTCATTTTTGTACCGATAAACTGGAAAATCGAAGAATTTACCTCTTACAATATTATCCAGCCTGATAACTGCATTTATAACCATCTCACTGAAAATTACGAAACAATAAATTAACTCGATGTTTAAAATATTAGTTTCGAAAATGATTTAATAGTTCAAACTTCAAATGTTAAGTAAATTCCCAGAGGTTTAAACTCATTCATTGAAATTCCGTGCGTGCATAGGGAGAAATAATTGTTTTATTTAATCAAAGAATATTTTAAGCTACATCAATTAAAGCACTCCAACCGTTTCATGTATATTGTAAACGTTGCTTAAATGATAAATGTTTCATTTTGGTGGTTATTTTAAGAAATTTTGCACGTTCGAAATTATCCCTTAAATGAATTAGAGCAATTAAATTCATAGCATGATATGTTATGGAAGAAGCATTATTTTCACAATTTGGGCTCAGTTTCAGCGTTGTGAAAACTTAAAACTCGTACTTAACGTACGAAAACTTAAAATGTTTACTTTCATAGAAGCCTTAAATTTTCGAAGAGTTTTAAAATTTTAAATTTAGGCAAATTGAAATGAGTAAATACTTTTATCAACGATGAATTTTCTCGCAAAACTTTTTAACTAGTGAGTTTGGTTTAGTTTATTGTCACAAAGCATACTAAGGGCTATCTGCCTAAGGCAAAGGATGCCTTTGTGGCGGACTTTCTAAGCCTTAAATTTTTAAAGAGTTTTAAAATTTTTAATTCGTTTAGGCAAAATGAAATGAGCAGATGCTTTTGTCAGTGATAAACTTTCTCGCAAAGGTTTCTAAGTAGTTAGTTTAGTTTGGTTTAGTTTATTAACAAAGCACAATAAGGCCTATCTGCCTAAGGGAAGGGATGCCTTCGTGGAGGACTGTCTAAATGAAACTGGCTCGTACACACGTTACACATGAAGAAAACCACGAAAACGCCCGGGCAGCTAGCCGTTCGCTTGGCTTCGAACCCATGTCGAAACTACAAGTGTTCAGCGATTTTACCCAGTCGCTTGTGAGCCTCCAAGTAGTAAAACTTTATTGCTCATTTAAATTTTGTAATCAATTCTCATTTGTAAGTTAGTAGAGAAAAAGATTTTGTTCGGAGCAGAAAGCAAGAAGAATCACTTATGCTGTAGCTGGAATTCAAACCATAGATTTTCTGGTTGCTAGCTAGACGTGCTGCCGCTTATAACATGAAAAGCCGCAATTGAAAGGTTATATTTCGCTACATATCTGTTAATTATATTTAAAATATAAGATTATCACAATGGCTTTTATTTCTTAGTTATGCCTAGAAGATAGGTTTGTAAACAATATTTTTGCTTAAAATTTAGTCTTAAAAATCTGCATAAAGATTTTTAAAATAACTTTATAGATAAATCTAAAATTAAAATTATAAAAGAAATACATAGTTGAAAACATTTTATTATTAAAAAATCAGAAGCACACAATCGCGCAAATAAAATTTATTAGTCAAATTTACCAAAATGGAGACTAAAATAGCATTTCATTGAAATATTATATCAGAAAATCCGACTTTTCATTCCGATTGATGCACAGACTGAACAATCTTATTTTTCTTGGAGAATCTGACAATAATATCCTCACTGTGTATTTTAAACAAAAGTCCATTTTGGAAAGTAAACAAAGGAATTTACCATAGAAATTATATTAGTATGGCAAAAATCTATATTTTCAAATAATTCTTCATCACTTGTATTTGGAAAATTGGGTCTTGTTCCTTTCCTCAGTCACCTTTTACTTAGGGAAGAATATAAGGAACCTCAGTTGCCTCTGGAATAAAGAATCTCAGCTGCGTCTAGAGAATATAAAGAATCTCAGCAAGTCTCTAAGCTGCAAAATAAAGATTTTAAATTGCGACTTTTCTGTTTTATCTATCTCATATTAGCTTATCTTATTTTATTTATCTTATGGGATTATTTTTACATTGTATACTTATTAATGTAAGAAATATGGTATACAGTAATTGAACGGCATTTTTAAAACGGGAAACGCTCAGTAAAACCCAGTATTTATGAAATCATATTACAGTTAACGCTTGGTTATCTCCTACAATTTTACAAATGCTTGTTTTAATGTTTTAGATTGTTTCACGCAATTTATTGCAGTAATTACATCCATTCGGAATTTCTGAAAAGCATATATGTTCAGAAAGCGATTAATATTCGGAAAATGTATTTTTGAGAAACGAATCTACTTGGCAAGCGTTTCTTCGGTAAGCGAAAGTCAAATACGGAATGTTGTTCTGAAAGAGAGAGGTTTGTTTTAAATTCCCACTTTTTGTACAGAGTGATTACTCATATATTGTAATTCCTTAAGTGATGTTAAAATTCCATTCAAAGACTTCTAATAACTTAAATTTACTATGGTTCACACAAACATTCCGATGCTACATTCTAACTCTTCTTATCCGCTGCTTTTATATCTACCAATTCAACTGTTATCTTCAGAAGCATGAAACTCACACATATTTTATAGAAGATTATGACTTAAGACCGGCAATGAATGATTTTCTCTCAATGTTTCAATGCAATATTGAAATTATTCCTACCAATAATTATTTCTTTTTCATAGGTGGAAGCCTTCTCCACCATGGACATCAAGTTGCAAGACGACGATATAACGACAGAAAAGCAACTCGAATCTATGAATACCCATTCACCTCAACCTCAACACATCTCTAACAAGTTTTCCATCGATGATATCTTATCTGGCAGCACAGGAAATACTACTCACGCTAGTGTCCGCAGCAACATTACTAACCTTCCCACCTCAGCTATCTTGCTGAGGGCCGCTGCAAGGGCCAATCGCATCAAGGACGATAACCATTTCCCATTTCCAAGGCCTCCAGTATGTGTAAGGCCTACTCCAGTTGCCTTCCATCCAGGTCCCCTATACCCTGCCAGATCCGATGCAGCTTCTTTGACGCTGGGTTATTTGGCACCAGCCTTGGGTCTTGATTCAGGCACTCATCTTCAACACCATCCTCAGGGGGATGTGGCCCCACATCATCCAGCAGGTTCATCTTTTCCCAACTACGCAGTCACAACAGCAGCCTCTGCGCTCAGCAATTATGGCACGTGGTTGGGAAGACCACCATTCTTCACACTATCAGGTGAGTCCACGGAAATAAAAAGCGAAACTCAGCAAAGATGGTATAAATTTATCTTTAAATAATGAAATGTTCTGCTTAAATTAAGTATAACATCGTATCTTTTATAAACATTTTAATCATTTATAAGGAACTAGCAGAAGGTAGAATCTCAGTCATTACACAAAACTTCTTTTGGTTAAAGGCCTTACATTCAAAATTACCGATACAAATATTAAAAAGAGTATTCTACATATACATAATCAAATGGAAAGAATAATTTCTTCTGTCAGAATTTTTAAGGGTAAAGGAAAAGGAAATTTTAATATTCCTTTACCCTCAATCAGGGCTTAATTTCTAAAAGTGCCGGAGCCATATGGAAGATCGCGGTAAAGAGGAATAAGAGTAAATGAATAAATAACATGACTATTAAAATGAAGGAATAAAAGAAAATAAATAAATAAAATGATTATTAAAATCATTCATGATCTAAAAATTAAATAGTTGATGAGTATCAAATTAATGAATTATTATTTAATTTGTATTAATAATTTATATGTATTAATTATTATTTAATTGATAATATTAATTTAATGCTATTTTAAATAATTAAAGAGTAAAGTAATTACATAATTAAAATCAAATAAAATGTAAAGAGATAATAAAAATATAATTTTCGAGATCAAACTTCTACTGAAATAATGGTTCAGTTACATAAAAGAACTTCTTATTTAGGGCTCCTGCGCGCTCCAGCTAGAATTAGAAATATGTCTCAAAAACTAAGAAGTACCGGAGCCGGCCTCCGGTGAGCTCCGGCGCAATTTCAGCTCTGCCCTCAATATTATATAACTGCATTATCAAATAGTAGACGCATAGAACATTATCGAATAAATTACAAAGAGCAAAATAAAATATAAATAGACAAAATAAAGTGTTAGCATTTAGTTGACCACTATTATTATGTCACAGCCAAGATTTTTTTTAGTTCTAAAAAATCTGATGTGTACATCACATGACTTCCTTGTACGAAATATTAAATTATACGCAATTTTTTTTTCATTTCATTTAAACTTATTGGATTGAATTAAATCTACTTCGTCGATAGTGCATAAGATCCAAATAGAATAAATGCACTCATTAAAATTCACTCTATTTGTTTACCATAGCGACACTCTGGCGATAGGTTCACTTAACAGCGTTATATTTTGTTCATATTATAACTCAGAATGCTCAAAATTTATATCATTTGGAGAATTATCTAATCGTTGCCACATGTTCTATTCATTATTATAATAAATCTAGAACGATGTATAAAAGAAATTAAGAAAACAAAACAAAAAAGAAACAGTTTTTCACAGACGATTGAGTATTTCTCATTCAATTAATTCAGTTCTCACTTCGCGACGAGGCAAAAATACATAAAAACTCAAAATATCTATATTCAAAATTACGAAGTAAATGTTAAACACTTATTTCCTCGAAAAAATTCCAGAAAGGATTAAGCATGATTTAATTCGCAATAATAAATGAAGGCGTTATCTTTGTTGTTGCAAAGTTTAGTCTCTCTAGCTACTATTCTGCTGTTTCAAATGTAAACTAATATGTCCTCCATGTTATTTAAAGATTAGGCTTAACCGCACTTAAAAAGCTTTTAAATTGTTGATAATTCTACAAATATTGCTTGATTTTTTTTCCTAAAGGCATAAAAACCTTAACCGAAAGATAAGAACAACACAATTCGATCATTTTTAAAGCAAAAAATGCACAATTTACAAACATATAAGAGTAAAGAAACTGAGATCACTGAGCCGGGTAACAGAGTGGATATATATATGAATATATTTATATACGTTTGATGCAGCCGATTGCAACCAAAATACGAGGTGCACATCTATATGTTGTAGCAGTCCTATGTACGAAATTTCAAGTTCTCAGTCCACTCGTTTTTGAGTTATGCGAGATACATACATACGTACGTACAGACACCACGAAAAATTCTCTTCGGAATTCACTTTAAAGCAGTTTTAATTTTTTTTTTTTTTTTTTTTTTTTTTTTTTTTTTGAGGAAAAGAGTCTTTCATTCCGTCCTTACGTACAGATGTTAAGCAAAAACATCGGTAAATTACCTTCCATAGCGGTCAAAATGGATATTTTCGTTGAAATATGCTGCCTGAAACTTTTCGCGATTACAGTACTTCCTTTTTACTTCGTACAAGGAAATAAAAAAGGCTGTGGAGAACAAAAATATCTTAAACTTCCAGAATGTATTATCTGATGCAAGGTATTGTGATAGGTTTTCCTATATTCGCATACTCTAATATAGAATATTAAAGTATAAAAATTTAATACTGGGCGGGGGGGGGGACTAACTTTTTAAAAAGATATTACGTTGAAGTTAAAGCCAAACTTTTGTGCTCGCTCTTCTTCTTAAGAATTTATTACTTCATTCTATGGTTGCATACACCTGAAGCAAGAGAATAAGAAAAGCGCAGAAAGACAGAACCAAACTAACCGGTTAGCAAAACACAATAAACCCTCATTAAGTTTTGCACTTCTCCCGTGGAAGCGAACCTGCGGATATGACTGCTAAGTCCAAATGAAAGTAACACTATTCATGTGTATTTAACCCACAACTTCCAGTTTAAAAGCCAATTCCAAACAGTACAGCCATTAACAGGTATGTGACTATATACTCTAATACTGCACAAGTAATGTCTTCTACACACAAGTCGTCAGTGTCAGAAAATTCTGGCAAGCCGTTGAGGAAAAATCAGCAATTAGTAATCCTTAACTGCTCCGATATCTTCTTTAAACAGATCGAATCAGAAGACTTATAATATATCAGAGAATCTAAAAAGCTGAAACTAATTCAGTCTCAAAATATATCATACTGAACTACTGATCCATTTTCATACTGAACTACTGAACTATTTTCATACTGAACTACTGAACTATTTTCATACTGAACTACTGAACTATTTTCATACTGAACTATTTTCATACTGAACTACTGAACACTGAACTATTCAGTTATACAGAGTTGTCAAATACTTGCTGCTAGCAAGAGTTGTTCAGTTGTATAATGAAGCTAATTAATTAACTATACTTGGAAGACCACTGCCTGACTCAAGATTGCCTCGTCTGATTATTAGTTCATATTACTGCTATTATTCGTGTTGTTATTAACGATAACTGAAATTTTCATAGATTAAAATTTCATTTAATGTTGGAACTGTTCATAACTTAGAACATACAGCCATGCCACCAGCCGCCCCAAGGCATACAAGATGATGGATTCTGTACACAATAAACCATTCATGCAGAATTTGAATAATATCAGTTTAAATGATAACAAAACAAATGGAGTAGAAAGTTTGTTTAAGGCTATTCATCAGACTTAATGATGAAAATTAATTCAATAACAATATTATTCAATATATAGGTCATTTTGACAAAATTAAAAAATTATGCTATCGAACTGTATTTTCTCTTTTTTCCCAAAACCTTTCCATAAGTTTGTAGGGTTTATATTTATTTGAACTAACATTTATTTCAAGTTTAAACTATCTTTCCTGTCAAGCCTTACTTTCCCCTGGAACTGCCAATGCCAGAGTATGTAAATTTTAGTAGAACGCGCAAGGATTCAAATTATCAGCGGAAGTATTCTGAGTTAAATAGAAAGGAAACGAGTTCGAGGTGTGCTGTTCTTACTTCACGAGCACGGAGGTAGTTATCCAGAAATTGAAGAACCCCGCGTTTCGGCCTGTGTGCTGGCCTGGAAGAATTGTTAATCGTTCAAGTGATCTTCAAGTTTTTGCTGAATTAGCAGCGGTATTGTAAAACGCGGTGGTGAGGTTAGTGTTACTTTTAGAGAGCCTCGTAGTTAGAGTCTTGTCTTTAGTTTCTTTTCAGGTTATTATTTTTATTTGACCGCCGAGTTGGCGCAGTTTGTGAGCGTCAAGAGCACGCACTTGTAATTTATTACGTTGAATAAAAAGGGACTTAAACCCTTAACAAGACTCTGTCTTTTATCCAGTTTTCACAGTCACCTCTTGGTTGCGTGCAAGTTGGAGGCGCGCAACGCTACAAGTTTTTCTAAAGCTTCTGTAAATTTCGAACCCCTCTTTTAAATTTCTGGAAGAAATGCTAAACCTTTTCATAACATATCCAACTCAAAGGTCCGTTATCTGCATTGCCAAAGAAAAAAAATCATTTGAAGTTTTCTCTGGCTTTCTTAATTGCTTCAGCGTCAGCATTTGTTCTTTAACTTCGTTTCAAATTGCGCTTAAAAACTTAAGCTCTTCTTATTCTTCCGATGTCATGGTCTGATGAGTTCGTCCTAAGATCAGATCTTCTACGCTGTTTCGTTCATTGCTCAAATGCTCAAAACTTTCTCCTAGATTTCCTACTAATGGTTGATATACGAGCTATTATAGTGCTCGTTTCCAAGAGTTCGACAATTACTTAAAACTTAGGGCTATAATTAGTGGGACACAGCCATTTACTTTGAGAGGCTCCATTATTTATTATACATGGTTAGCCTAAGAGAAATAGACGCATTAGATGCTTACAAAACGAGAAGTATTTATTTTTATCACGAAGTATTTACCGTTTTATAGAGGAAAGACTTTCAAATTTATGACCTCTTCCTTTCGTGACGTCAGCCTCACGTGAGCATTTTTGACGTCTTTCCAGCAATACGATCACTAATCAGGCAGAAAAAGCTTTTTGAAGGCTCTCATTTTTAAAGATTCCCGTGTGATAAGCAATATTAAAATTTATTATTGTTATACAGCGACATTTAGCGAACCAGGAGGGACAGAAATATGCTGCTGAGTTGCCCACTCAATGGATCAGAATATGGCAAGTTGGGTCTAAAAATTCCTGAGTTAACACGCGTGATTATTGCTTTTTGAGATACATCAAATACCGAGTTTTCCCCCTTCCCTTTCCTACAGTTGTAGACTATCTTAAACAATACATCACAGCAGCTGTTGTGACTATTGACATGGATGTGCCATGTA